ATATATATAAATATATATATATATATATATATACATATATATATATATATATATATATATATATATATATATATATATATATATATATATATATATATATATATATATATATATAAGTTAACACATAACATTTAATATAGGGTATTTCATAAGTTTATAATCAACCCTCGCTATCGCGTGTTTCGTAAGTTAAGAAACAGCCCTCGCAATTGCGACACTGCATACTTTGTATCAGCGCGCTATAACTGCAATGGTCAGCGGCGGTAACCAGATACTTTTGTTTACTGCAAGAGTTTCCGTTATTGCCTAAGATTGCTGAGTCGGCTTGCCGACCATGACATTGTGGTGTGATGCGAGTTTTGGCTTAGCTTAAGTGAAATATTCTATGTAGCTAAAAATCAGTTTTGCATTGAAGTTTGAAGAATAAACCCGCACTACTCCGGCACACCGCCGTAATCAAATTGTTATATTTCTGATCATTGCTGAGCCACAAGGCCAGTTAATAGAAAAGGGGGTGAAGTCAAACCCTCCAACATAATCATCATAAGAAGATTATAATTACCCGATCAACGCTGGACCTGCCACCGACGCCTAGCTCATAGCTGGACCAGCAACTTATTGATTAAGACTATAAATACCCGATCAACGCTGGACCTGCCACCGACGCCTAGTTCATCGCTGGACCAGCAACATATTAATTGGCGCCCAACGTAAAAAAAAAAAAAAAAAAAAAAAAAAATTTTTTTTTTTTTGGAATTTAAATCATATTAAACAAGCTTGCAGAAAAATTACGATTTATCCTGTCATTCACAAGAATTTCATATTGCGATTGCCTGACAACGTCATAGCCGAATGCGATGGAAAAACCCACACACTGCAGAGTTGCACCGCTTCACCTGGAGCCACCTTTTGTCGTCTGGCATTAGAGAGTTCATGTGCCAAAGAGCTCCATGCAGGTGGCACGGCACACTGTGAAATCCAGCCGAGCAACCTGGAAATAATCACCCACGTAGATGATGGAATCATCATTCTTAACGACGGGTCCGCAAGGATCCAGGTGGATAACGGCACTGAAATCCAAGTACACGGCACGCATCTCATTACGTTCGGGGACCGAGTCGCGATCAACGGGACTCTGTTTTACAACCACAACAACGTACGCAATAGAGTCCCGGGCATTGCCAACTCTCCCTTGCTGAACATCACTGCCAGCCAAGATGTCCTCAGCCTCCCTTATCTTCATCGTTTAAATGAACGTAATTTGGAGGAGATACAGCAATTCAAGAAAGACGCCGGAACTGATCAAGCTTATCGTGTGGCATTCATCATTGGAGGTATATGCTGTGCTTTAATCTGCATTGGCCTCACCCTTTGGCGGTTCATCGACGCAAGGAAGTCTGCGAAGCAATTACGAGAAGTCGTCGCCGGAATTGGGTCGGCCGAGGGCGGCCTTACACTTGAAGGGGGAGTAGTTAACACATAACATTTAATATAGGGTATTTCATAAGTTTATAATCAACCCTCGCTATCGCGTGTTTCGTAAGTTAAGAAACAGCCCTCGCAATTGCGACACTGCATACTTTGTATCAGCGCGCTATAACTGCAATGGTCAGCGGCGGTAACCAGATACTTTTGTTTACTGCAAGAGTTTCCGTTATTGCCTAAGATTGCTGAGTCGGCTTGCCGACCATGACATTGTGGTGTGATGCGAGTTTTGGCTTAGCTTAAGTGAAATATTCTATGTAGCTAAAAATCAGTTTTGCATTGAAGTTTGAAGAATAAACCCGCACTACTCCGGCACACCGCCGTAATCAAATTGTTATATTTCTGATCATTGCTGAGCCACAAGGCCAGTTAATAGAAAAGGGGGTGAAGTCAAACCCTCCAACATAATCATCATAAGAAGATTATAATTACCCGATCAACGCTGGACCTGCCACCGACGCCTAGCTCATAGCTGGACCAGCAACTTATTGATTAAGACTATAAATACCCGATCAACGCTGGACCTGCCACCGACGCCTAGTTCATCGCTGGACCAGCAACATATTAATTTATATATATATATATATATATATTTTTTTTTTTTTTTTTATTTGTTTTATTTTTTTTTTTAATATATATATACAAAAATATATATAATCTGAAGCTACTCTAAGAAAATCTTTTTAGTCCAACGATTCACATTTCGATGTGCTTGCCATGACTATATAAAGACTTAGACTTATGTACACATCTATATATATCATATTTCAAGAGCTTTTCATTGACCATTGCACCACTGTGCAATAGAAATTCGAGAGAACGTCGACAGAGGAAAAAATTGTTGAGGCGACTGCCCCGCGGGGCGGAAAATCAAATACTTGAACGTTATATTTAAGGAAAAATCACGTTTCACATAAAAGACGCTAACGTGGCCAAAGTCAAATGGAAACAATAGCCATGCAAAAGGGGGGCGTGTGGCGGGGCGTGCCACTTGACCGCGATTGCCCGGCAATGGTCGGCAAGTTGATTTTATTGCGCTTTAAATTAAATATATTGTACAATTTATATAGAAAGAAAGTGAAGTGAAATGATTTTGTAGCCGCACACACACACGCACGTACACACACACAGCAGGGGTAAAAAAAATGAAGCAAAACGGAAAGCAACTTTTGCACATAGCACCAACTGAGCCATGACCACTGAACTGGACAGTGTCCGTCCGGCAGCAGCCGCCGCTGGGTCTGGCTGAACCAAGGCGAAAACTGCAGACTTGGCATCAAATAAAGCACACATATTGCGAGAGAGAGAGAGAGAGGGAGAGAGGAAGAGGGAGGGAGACATAGAACATGGGAAGAGACGACGACATTCCACTGAAAATGCAGCCAGCTCGAAAAAAACAGAAGAAACTAAATAAATAAATATCACGATGCGTTGCTTGCAATAAGAAACAGGGTATAGATGGCCTGTCTGACTAGTCAGCAATAACGAAAAACTGCAGACAAAAACTGCAGACTAGCCAATGCCCTGCCTGGCACACTCTATGACAAATTTTTGCATTTAGAGTAAACCTCTTAAGCTTTATTTATGTTATTCATGTTGCTTCCCTGTCAGCAACAACAACATCATACCCCGTTTGGGTATATCGCAAAAAAAGGGTATACAAATAGCATCACTGAGGTGAGGGGACGACTATGTAGCCAATCCATTCCGCATCCGTTTGCCATTGTCGCCATCATCTTTGTTTTCATAGCTGTGAATGTGACATTCCACAGTTGTGTGGCGGGCACTGGAGTCCGGGTCTGGGTGTGGGAGTTGTCGACAAGTGCTGACGCTTGAAATTCTAGCTTAAAACTGAATATAAATTCGGCGATTTGGTTTATGTGCAGAACTCTAAGTGGTTTCATTGCGCCGCAAGCTCAAGTGTGAAATAAAATAGCAAAGAATTATTGAATGGCAGCGAGAGAACAAGAAAAAAATCACTCGCAACTCAATTGTCAACAGTTTGGCAGCGGCAGCAAGTCGAGTGGGTTTTAAATTTCAGCCAGAGCAACGGACCAGCTGGCTGACCCGCTTTAAAGCCAAACAAATGCAAATATCAAAGACGAGTCCAATGAATTGGCAGCCGGCATGCAAAACAACCATTGTTGCTGCTGTTGCTGTTGCTGTTGCTGCTGTTGTTTCCTGTCGTGCTGTGCCGCTGCGAGTGTGTGTGCGGCTGACCAAACAAAAGTCTTGGCAGCACGGCCCGCACGTCAGCCAGACAGAGTCAGTCAAAAAGCCAAAAAGCGCAACGAAATTGAAATCAATGCATGCCCAGCTGCACTTGGCTGGCCTTCACACCACTCCCGCCCAACTGGCCACTCGCCCCTCCCTTATGGCCATCTCAGCAAACAGCTGCAACAGCAACCGACTCATGTTTATGCCACATTTTGCAATTTTGTGGCTTTCATTTACAAAATTAGTTAGATTGGCATTGTGCACACGAGGGAGGCGCAAGAGGCTGCAGAACAGCCAATTGCTGCAGTGTGAAAAATGAAGCCTATGCGGAAAAGCGCAAAAACAACAAATCAATCGATCAACAGCACAAAATTTGCAGCAAAACAAAAAAAAAAAAACGTGTAAAGAAAAATGAAATTTTCAAGCCAAATTTGCTGGCAACAGTTGGATAAATGTTTTCCAAACAAGTTGAAAGAAAAGTGAAACGAAATTGATAGGGCTACTAAAAGCGTTATGGTTGAGCAAGACATAAGTGAATGCTTGACGAAAACAGACATAAGCAGATGCTACCCAAAGAGCTATCGAAGCTAGTTGGGAAAGGTTAAGCAAATTACATATATGCAATAGCTAGTTCTAGCTGCTAGCTCGACGTCAAGTATAATTGAAGCGTAATTAAGCAGAAAGCGATTTCAGGAACAGTTTAAAGAAAACTTTCCATGTTGCTAAATCATTTAATTTGTAAGTTGGCAAATCGCTTCAACATCTTAATTGGCAGCAGAAAAGCAGAAAAAAAGCGAGTCAAAACGAACTTTTGCAAATGCCATTGCAGTTAAGTTCTCCACAGAGACGGAGACTGAGAGGTATTTGAAAACTGTTTGCCAAGAAAAAAGATGGCGTAATTGAAACTTAATGAGTAGAGACAGCAGCCGCAGCAGTCGGAGCAGTCGGAGCAGTCGGAGCAGCCGCATCAGCCACATGCATATTTGAAGCTGGGACAAGTTGTTGGCAAAGTCACGCCGAGTAATGGGGTGTTTGTCGTGCGTTCGTAACTGAAGATACTCTGCAGCGCAGATGCGTATCTGAAAGATGCAAAACGTGCCAGTGTCTGGCTGAGCTATGGCCAGTCATTTGCCAAGGCATTAGGCAAGCGCTGCCATAAAGCGGTTATAAGATACATTTTTTAGCTTTCAAGCCATAAAATACCAGTTAACAGATACAAGATACTCTACTCTGTGTGCATTGCACAATGCTGAACAATGGGCATGCATTTATGATTTATTTGCTGTTTTGTTTTTCAGATGCGCTCAGCTTTGGCCAGGTGAATGTGGAGCCCAACACAGCGCTGCTCAACGAGGGCGATCGCACTGAGTTGCTCTGCCGCTATGGACGCGCCATCAACTACTGCCGCATCGAGATACCCGGCGAGCAGAAGGTGCTCAATTTATCGCCCGTTTGGAGCAAGACGCCAGGATTTACCTACTACGGCTCCGGCTTGAATGCCGGCCAGTGCGGCGTTACCATTGAGCGCGTTAAGGCCAGCAACAATGGCCAGGTCAAGTGCAGTCTGGGCGTCGAGGGCGAGGAGCTGTCCGGCACCATAGATCTGGTTGTGGCACGTAAGTTAACCAACTATCAATTTCATATTACCCAAGCATAAGCTTAACTCCAATTTTCAGCTAGATCCACAGCTTATTTATGCTCCTTTTCTTCATCTCTTTTATAGTTCGCCCGCAGCAGCCCATTATTGAGCTCATCTCGAAGCCCAATCGCGATGGCTTCTTCTCGGAGTCTACTGAATTCCATGCCCGTTGCAGTGTGCGCGATGGTCGTCCGGCTGCTAACATTTCCTGGTACATTGACAACATGCCCGCCAATAAGCGCACCAGTCCCCTGCAGGTTGTGGCCACGCCCACCCACGACAATGTTGAGCTATCCACCTCGGTGCAGGAAATCCAATGGCCATTGACAGCGGACGATAGCAATCGCAAATTGGTCTGCCGTTCACATCATCAAACCGATCGCGAGAGCGTGCCACCCCAAGAGGCTGCCTATATCATCAATGTGCGCTGTAAGTATCTAGAATGGAATGTCTGTCTATATCGATATATATCGAACCATAAATCGATATGTATATATATGAAAGTGAAAGTAAGACTAGCTCAAACTACACCGAGAGTTATGCACCTAAAACCTTTTATTAATTCAAACTATAAATTGATTAAAATCAATATTCCTCTTCGCCCGCAGATGCGCCTGTTCATCAGCCCGAGGCATCGGTGTACGGTCTCTATTTGGAGCACACCGCCATTGTGAATATTACGATTCGTGCCAGCCCGCCGCCGTCTATTGAGTGGAACATCGACGGTACCATTGTGTCGCAGGGCCGGACCGAGGGACGTTATTCGGCCTATGAGCCACAGTATGTCGGCAATGATGAGTACAATGTGACCCTGGCGATTGCCGGCCTCACACTGGAGGACACGACCAAAACGTATAATCTGCGCGCCAGCAATGAGCTGGGCACCACCGACTATCATGTGCGCATCAGTTCGTCGAGCAAGCCGCCCAGCAGCAGCTTGGATGTGGCTGCCATTGTGGGCATCGTTGTGGCCGTTGCTGTTCTTGTCCTGATTGTGCTGCTCATACTGTTTGCGCGCGCCACCGGCAGATGGTGCTTTGGCGGTAAGTAACAAGAGCGTTACCTCTCTCACTCTCCCTCTCTCTCAATCTCTCTCTGGCTCATACACTCTTTTCTTGGGGCTTTCATCACATTTTATTTGTGCGCGGTTGCCCTTGCCCCAGCCCTTCATCATCATCATCAACCATCAACCATGTACTCGCATCATTGTAGACATCATGCCATCATCATCAGCTATGCTAACAATAATTTCTGGCCCACAAAACCTACCCCAAGCCATTTGGCCATCGCTCATCTCATTCGCCCCCACAGCACATGTGTATGTGTGTATGGGAGTGGGCGTGGCATTGCCACAGCCAGTTGCTAACTTTTAACTCATTGTGCGGCTTTTAAATTTTAATTAGCGTCGAGTTGCAAGCTGGCAGTGGCAGCAACTCGCGCAGCCTTAAAAACTCATCTAATTAAACATACTTTTCATATTTAAATTCCTTTTTCTCTTCCATTTTTTACGTATTTCACTTGACTTTTGGGCGGCTTGTTCTTTGCTTTTCTTTGTCGGCTTTCTAAGCTTTTGTAGAGCTGCGGGCACAAATTAAGGGATTGCGACAGATTCTTTAGATGTCTTTCAGTTTTTAATATGCGACACTTAATTAGCATTAAATGCTAAGACAACAAATTTCTTAGACGTGATCAAACATCCAGTTAAAAATTTGTGAAAGAAAAGAAAAGGGCTAGGTCAAATGGTTTGTGGAACTGATTGATGATTGCCAGACCCCAGTGAACATAGTTTTATGCACTTATTAGCTTATGGGGCATATCTATTTCGAATTTCAACTCTTCGACGAACGAACTAATATACTCTCCTTACACTCTGAGCCAGCTTAACCTTTCTGTCAAAGAAATTGTGCAATAAAAAATATTCTAAAAGCTTAATTTAACAACTTGTCATCAGCAATAAATATATTTAAATTAAATTCCTTTAAAATGTATTAAAAGCCAAATTTAAAATATATATATTACAATGAAATATACTCAATTATCTGTACTTCTATATATATATTTATAAAGCCTTTAAAAATGTTTTCAAAGTTTTCTTTAAAAATATTACAGTAAAAGCAAAGCCCACTATCAATGGGCTTAGGCTATAAAGAGTAAACAAAGACCCTATCAAATACCTATAAAATTGCTGTTTATACACAAGGCCAACACACACACAGCCACACACACACACAGCTCGCTCAAGCCACAGCATGTTAATAATAAATACAAGACAAAAGCCAAGCACAAACGAAATTTGAATATCATTTTGTTCTCCATTATATAAATGTATTTAGCATATAAAAAGAAACAACAAAATAACAAAAACAATTGTTAAACAACAACAGAAGAAAAAACTGTATAAATAATTTAGCAAACACACAAATACTCTGCCTTAAAAAATGTCTACAAATGACAACAACAAGAAGAGCTAACATAAGAGACGCTTCACAAATATTAATTACAGCCATTTCTCTAATTAATTTATTTATTTTTTTAATTTTAATTCTTATGTGTTTCAAATTTCTATCAAAAAATATGAAGATGAAGAGAATTCGATTCTGGTATTTGCTTTTCTCTGTTTCACTTTTAATTTTAGATTTTCTACTCTATTCTTTTGTAACCTTTTCTACTTTGTTGCTTTACTTGGTAATTGGACTAACCCCACACGTTTTATAGCTTTGGCTCAAACCGACTAAACTGGTTCGAAGGTTGGCCCCGATGGTTGTGTCAAGCAGTCAGAGCTCGCTCGTCGCTAAATGTTAGTTCTTGTTGTTGTTGTTCTTGCAGGCGCCACGCTCAATACGGATCTCGGTCCCGATTCGGAGGCCCAGATCCATCCCGACCAGCAGGAGGACGAGCTCGATGGCCAAGACAATGGCGACGAGCACATCGATACCACACAGCAATCAGAGGAAGCCACGCCCCCAGTCACTGATAAATTGGAGGCGCAGAAGAAAGCCGATCTAAAGCGAAGCGCCGCAGCGACCGCAGCCGCTGTAATTGCGGCCGGCAATGGCCAACAGCAAAACGGCGCCGATGCACCCAAGCCACCAAACACGTCCGTTTGAGCAACGTGAGAGGAACTCTGTTAGCTGTGCGCGCTTAGCAACTGCTTTAAGCAAACAAACCTTAAGATACCTTAAACGAAACAGCAACGCTCTCTATATTTCACTCAGCAATCACAAAGGCGCACAAAATATCAAAACAAATGAAAATCAGAAAAATTAAAAACTAAAACTAAAAATATAAATAGAAGAAAACCTTAAGTTGGCCAAGTATTTTGATAAGCTCTCGTCCTTCCACCCTTAAGTTAAGGTTAACACATCTCGAAATCTTTAGGAATCTCGCAATTTTTATAAACCCGTCCGCACTCAAAATATACTTATATATATTTTTTTATATATATTTATATATTCACATATTTTCTCCACCTTTATTATATGTAAATCACAAATTGTATTTTGTAACATAATTTCTCACATTTGTTTTATAATTTTTTTGCCAGCAATTAATTTATTTTAAGCTCCGACCTGCCAGCATTTTGCATTTTTTCTCCAATAAATACACAAATTTTTTAGCTCACTCAACTTATTAGTTAATAATATTTAAAACAAAAGGAATATTATGCATATGTTAAAAATGAAACTTGGCTCGAATAATTAGAAGCGACGTACGTAAATTATATATAGTTATAAATCGTAAACAAATTGGCTAAAAAAAAACAAAACAAAACAAAACAAAACTTATTTTATTATAATTTGCTCACACTTAATTTGCAGTTTGTAGTAATTTGTATAAACAAATGAAAACAAAACATATATATTTTTAAAGTTAACAATAAATTGTGTTTTTATTTAAATAATCAGCGATTTGTCTTGCAACTCATTTGGCTTCACTATGCAGCTTTGGCTTAAGATGATGATGGCGGGGCTTCCCTTCTGACCCAGTCACAATCCATTCCTTACTTACTTAATGCTTAATATATACTTTAATACTTGTCTTCTCTCACATGTTTCCACAGGTAAATCGATCAAGACGCCCACTAACGAAACGTAAGTACCCCAAAACAGATCCTGAGCAACTGTCAAAATAAGTTCAACGTGCAACGGGACCAGGTCATTTCTATAAAGCCATCAATTAACTATCCTTAACTGGACAATCCATACAACTAACCCATTGTAACGGTATCTGTTCTTTGCATCCTTTATAATTAGATCAATTTTCATAAAGCTTTGCATGAATCTGGTTGCATGTGCTTCTTCCTGTTAGCTAATTCGTATACTTAATTTTACTATCTTCATTAACAAGCGCAGCTAGATAGCATTTAGTCATCATCAGCATCATCATTATTATCATTATCTATAGGCTAGTACAACTTTAGTCAGCGTTTAACATAAGCACATACATACACACTCACATGCATACACACATTTAATGCTCATTCATCGTTTCCACTGGCAATTGTATATTAGGCAAGCAGAAAAAACTGACCATATATTAAATGAAATGATGTTGCGGCAGAGAAAGTAAACTCGGGGCAACAGTTTTTATATTTAGCATAAGTAAACATATAAAATAAAAAATAAAAACTTTTTGCAAATTCAAATTAAGCTAAACAATTGAAATGCAATTATTTTGATTGTCAGTGGAACGACTAAAAATTTAGCGTCCAAAAAAGAATTGTGTTTTGTCTCATTTTCGTTGCGTGACGTTGTCTTGTCTATTTTCAAAATTGAAATCAAATCAAAATCACTTAGCTAAACAAATTTCACGCTGCCACACACACACACAACACACACACGCACACACTCAACCCCCTCACACACTGCTCGCTCGCTCGTTCGCTCGCCTCGCCTCGCCTCGTCCACCAAAAACTCTCCCTAGTCGTACTAGTTGCAGTCTGTCTATCTCTTCCTCCCACTCTCTCGCTCTCGCTGTCGCTCTCTCTCTCTCTCCAACTATTCACTGTGCCGTACCGCAAAACAACAACAATTTAATATGCATATACTAAAACGTCAAGTCGCTGTCCAAGCCATATACCAAAAAATCAACAACTGAAATTGTCCATTTCGCAAATGCATCTCAAAAACAACAACTGCAACAACAACAGTAGCAACAAAAACAACAACAACAGCAACAACACAATTTCCCATTGTACTTATTTTGTGTACTTTCATATGGCCAACATAACATCCACCAAAAAACTAAACTGTCAAAATAAATTCAAAACTGTCAAAAATTTGTTGTTCTGCCCCAAACATTGAACCACTGAACCACTCAACCACTCAACCAACCCAACCATTCGCGGACTACATTTGCAGCGAGAAGCAGCTCGACTCCGGCGAGGCAGCGTATCATGGCCAAAATGTGGCGCTGCTGGAGACGCCCAATGGCATCACGCTTCTAGGCGCCAGTAAAACGCGCGAGGCGAATGGGAACGGCACTGGCAATGGCCATGGGCATAATCACGAGCGGTTCTCGGTGGAGCGACGCGTGCACGATGAAGATGATTCATTTGAATATGGCACGGATCGCGAGAGCAGCGTCTATAATCCCACCACAAAGCCGCTGCGTAATGTGCTAATGGGCCAGGCGGGCGGACGCAACACGCAGGCGAGCAGAAGCGAGCCGGAGGCACCGACAGCCGACAGCGATACGGACACGGATCTGCTGCAGCGCGGCAATCAGTTGGGCATACCCGAGTCACGTTTCTCACGCTGGCTGCCCAAGGATCAGCGCGAGCTGCTCGAGAAGCAGGCTAAGCTGCTGTCAGGACGCAGTCAGGCACTGGCGAAGGCAGCACCGCCAGCAACGCCCCCAAAACCAAACAAAAGTTCACCAACAACACAGACGACAACGCCGACAACACCAAAGCTGCCACAGGAAACGGAAATTTAAATGTGTGTGTGTTTGTGTGTAAACATGTGTTTAGTTAGGTGCAGGAAATGCCACAAAATTGAAGTCTAGAATTTCTAATTTATTTAGTTCAGAATGTCGTTACATAGCAGCGAGCTATGCAGCTCGACAAGCAAAGCGAGACTCATGACAGCTTCATTCACACACACACACACACACTTACACATATACGAAATCTTGACATAGTTGAGAATTTTTACCAAAACAGCATGAAATTTAGACATGAAATTAAGAATTTTTCGAATATGTATGTAATTAATAGAGTTGTTGCATGGCCAAGTCTGAGCGTCAAAAAGCTAAATGTTATGTTACTCAAACGACAACAAAAAGTTGAAGAAAAGCAAAAAAGATTTTGTTCTTTTTTTTTTGTTTTTAACTTTTCTCAAGTATTTATTTGGAACAAAGTTTAAGCTGTGCCCACTGTACTTTATATATATTATTTTTTTCACTTCCTTAAGAGCCGCAACATATTTTCCTTTATTGCAATTGTATTAATTTGTTCTAATTACAACATTTAACCTAAGTTGAACAAGTAGTTAAGGTTGAAGACGAAACGAAGCGCGCGTTTATTTATTAAGTTGTAGTTAGTTGAGTCTTTTTGCTAAGGTTGTTCTTTATTTTATATCTATATATACATATATATATTTTTAATAAATTAACAAAAAACAAAAGCGAAAACTGAATAAATGCCTGCGTGTGTGTGCGTGTGTTCCATGGTTTCGGGGTTGTTTCAAATGTTATTTTTTATGCATTTATTTTATATATTGTTTCAATTACTTTTCAAACTTTTTTTTTAAATAAGCACAATATAACACATGTTTTCGTATGAAAACTGCATTTTATTGGATTTGTTGAAGCTGCGTGCTTTACATTTGCAATTTGGTTGGCCAGCTAGAGAATACGTGTCGCAGCTTAACTATACACACACATACACACACACTCACACTCACTACAATAGCAGCAATAGTTTTTTAATAGTTGTTTCCAACATGATATCAGGCAACTGAACAAACACGCAGCCAGACGGCTGCCAGACATTCAAATGAGCCAAAAAATTATTTATGGAATTTATATGGATACACTTAACGTGTGCTGCACGTCTCTCTATCTCTGTCTCTCTCTCTCTCTCTGTGTGTGTGGCAAACAAATTATGCGACCAACTATCAGCTATCAGCTTACTGGCATCTGCACAGCGCCAGCTTTGAAGGTCAATTGCGCACGAGCTGAGCGGAGGTCAATGGTAAAGCTAAAGAGAACAATTTTTTAAGAGTTTTGCTTAAATTCTGAATTTCAGCAGAACATTTTTCTTGCCATTCTTTAAGCCTAGCTGACTTAGAATTCAGTATATCAAAAAAAGAAACATGTGCTAAAAAGTTAAAGCAGCTTTAAGAAGTTCAGGACTTGATACTTTAAGCCTAGCTGACTGTGAGAGTTATTTGCCAATGCTGCGAGGTTTTGCCTAAATCTGCAAAGAGACTCTTGCTGAGTTCAGTTATAGTCCATTATCTAAAGTAGAAAATATATTAAAAGAGTTCTTCTTATATACGTTATGATCTGCTTTTCATATATCTGAAAGAAAAGCTAAAGCAGAAGATCGAAATTAAATACAGATGAAAGTCTTAAAGAGCTATTCAAAGATTCTTTAGAAAATGTTTCTGTTAAGGGACTTAGCTCATTTATAAAAAAATAAATTGTCAGTTTTTCTTTAGTACCCAATTCTGACTTAAAAACCCCGAGATAAAAACCTGAAATCCACTTCAAACTCTGCCTTACTAAACACATTCAAAACTCTTTAACAGATACCGCTCGACCGACAGCTAAAGTTCACATTCCTTGACAATCCTCTCTCTCTGTTTTCGTAACATTCCCTTGAGCAACGCCCCAACTAATTGCAATCCAAATCAAATAATTTTGAGTAGTTGAAGGCTCTGGTTTATTGGTGCCACGCAGCTGCAGCCAAACTGAAAACCAAATACTTTCTCTAATCCAAAGCACACACAAACACACCTTCTATCTAACCCACGACTAATACCGCTTTAATGGCTATTTTTTGGGGCCAGCCAGCGCTATGCCATGCTATACTATACTGTCTGTTAATCTAACTAATGTCCCGGCTGCACGACAAACAATTATTTTGACACATTTAATAAGTAGCCCCAAAAAGTCGCAACGACCACGAAACACCAAGCCCTTAACCACAATTGAAACCAAAAACAGCAGCGACACCGAAAGCGCCGACATAAAAGCCACCTCCACCTCAACCGCCACGGCAACAACGACGGCGACGACAACAGGAGCTGGCGCTGGAGCTGGCGTTGAATCTGAGGATGTGGGCAACAATGGCAGCGACCAGGAGGCGCCGGCCGGCAAGAAGGCCAAACGTTTGCCAGCCTTTGCTGTTGCCATTTTAAAGCGTTTCAATGAGAAGGATGCCAAGGATAACAATGGTGAGACGCTGACAACGGCGGCAGGCGCAAATGACAACGACAACAATACAACAACAGCAGCAGCAGCAACAGCAACAACAATCGATGGCAATGACAATGAACCAAAGGTATACAAAAACTGAACCAGTCCTTGAATAGACAACCACACGAAAATCTTGCTGTCTCTTTCTCTATCTCTCTCTCTATATATCTCTTACTATGCGTGCTTGTATGTGTGTGCGTGTGTGTGTGCGCGTGTTTATTTAATTGTGTGTTTTCTACACCATTTAGCTTAGCATACTCTTAGGCCAAATATATATAGATATATATATTTTATATCGATTTATAATTTTTCTATAATCACAAACTTTTTTGTCATTTGCTCTCTCTCTCTCTCTCTCTCTCTCTCTTGCTCTCTTTTTGGCTGCTACACAATTTTTTGCTTCATTTTTAATGCTTTTTTTGTAAATTCGTCGTGTTGATAACGCATGCAAAAAATTTGTGTAACTTGTAAATACTCTGTCTATATACTCTGTACGATTTATCGATATTTGCTATATAAGGCTATAGTTTGGCAGAGCACCTCACCCGTGTGGACTTTTAAGTAAGAAAGCTAAGCAAATGAAAACACGTAGCGCAGCAGCAAAAAGGTATCACAATTTGCCCTTCCACCAAAATAAATGACATGAATCAAAATAAAATGTATATAAATTTATTTTTATTTACAATTTGAAGTGTGTTTCCTTTCTAGATTGAAATTTAATAGAAATTTTTGTTTATTGCCCGCAGCAAGACAAACAACTCGTCTATGCTGAACTTGTACTAAAGCCCGCCCAGGAGAAGACGCCAGCTGCACTAACAACAGCAACAACAACAGCAGCAGCAGCAACACCAGCCAACACAACAACAGCTGCAGCTCTGGCGGGCGCAGATGCAGCTGGCAAAAATGCTACTGAATATGCCGAAATAGTCTATGTGCAAAAGGGCGATGGCAAGAAATAAAAATACTCAACAAAATGCCCAATGAGGCTGTACCAACAACAGCTACAACAACAGCAACAACAACAACAACAACAACATTAAAAAATTATTATATATATTGTGAACCACAACAAAATACAAAAAAAACACAACAAAACCCAATGCATAAACATAAAATAACATTAAAAAAAAAGAAAATAAATATAAAAAAATTATGAATTTTAAGTGTGGTTTTTCAAAAACTCCATTGAATGTGTGTACTAAAAAACAAGAAAAATCTTAAAGCTAATTACAAGACAAAACGTAATTAATGTGTTAAAAAAACAATACAAAAACTAAAAAAAAAAACATTTTTCCACATACATAAATATATAATTAAAAACAAAAAAAACATACGCACAGCTAAATCCATACACAGTCCCACACACACCTAAATAAAATTTACAACAAAATAAAACTAAAACAAGCATAAAATTAATAAAAGATTATAAATTAAATTTACATAGGCAAAACACAAATAAAAAAAATAAATATAAAAAAATATATTAAAAAAATCAAATGAAAACCTTAAAAAAATATTTGAAAATCTCAATTATTTACATAAATGTCTCGCAATTAAGCTAAATGTAATTTAAGCCAAGAAAATATGCAAAAACAAAAAAAAAAGCCCCACAAAAAAATTTTATTTATTACAAAACGATTTTTTATACAAAAAAGAAAATGGATTTTTTTAACAACTTTTTGATAAACATTTAACGAAAAACAAACACAAACAATTCGAGCAGCCAGAGTAAAGCATTTAAGCAAAAGTTGATAATACAGAGAAAAGCGAATAAGCTTTATTCATTAATCTTCATTATCGATAGTTATCGATCATTCTCGAATCTCCACGAAGGCGCAACAAAATTGTAACCGAAAGTATTTTATGCTAATTTCTATTCACATTTTCCAATCCAAGCCAGGCCTATTATTACGTTATTAATTTAAAAGTGAATTAAAAAAAATAAATAAATATAAATTATATGATTATGATAATTATTATGTATAATTTAAGCGCAGCACTAATTACAATTATATATATATACTTTGATTATTGATTTTTTACCTTGTAAATTATAATTTGTATAAAGTTAAGCCGAGTAACTTTTTTGAATAAAATTCTTTACCATAAAACTGTGTCGAGCTCTCTCTTTTGCCCTTTTGTAGCGCATGTTTAGAGATAATCCTGAACTGTTATCCTGCCAGTAGCATGGCAGACGACAATGGACGTGGATGAGTTGAAAAAGGGATGCATTTGATATGCCCAACAAAGGCAGGCCCAGACAGTACGCACACTGACAGCGCTCGCGGTCGTATACTTAATTTCTATTATCATGCACTCCACATGTTGTCTATCGTGTGTGTGTGTGTGTGTGTGTATGCTCGTGCTTTCGCTGTTTTCGACTGCTTTAAGCCACAATGCAGCAAGGCACAAGTTGAGAGCATTTTATTTGTTTAATTAAAACTACATATTTGATAGCAACAGCTGCAGGTACAACAACAAATATAATAACAACTGAGGCAACTATATGAATTATTTGACTAGCAATGAAATGTAAAATCTACGAGTAAGTAAATTGAAATGGAAATCGAGTTTATGGCACAAACAAGGCAATTGCATGTCTGCAGCAGTCACGTAATTGAATACAAGAAAAACCACATTTGAAATTTGCAAATTTGCAATTCGGGCATGTGTAAGGCGTGCTCCTCTCGGCTTACTTTGATTTAGGACTTAAGCTGGGTGAGCCAAAATCCCAGGACAATTGCAATTACAAAGAAGTTAGCTAGACAAGGTGTCAACGACTGCACGACACTCTACACACTGTGACAGACGGCAAGTTTTCATATTCAGATTAATTTTAACCAGGGATTATTTACTTCTCAACTATGTAATCCTAAATCAATGCATTCACTTTGAATAGTAAATAGCATCATATAATAATCTTCGACTTTTGCAGTTCCAAAAGTCGTAGCATACTTTCGAGCGTTGTCTGTGCTCTGCTATTAGTATTCATGTCCGTCAAATCTGAGACTTCTTATAATGCAATTTATATTTTTATTTATATATATCATGTTTTTTCTTTCAAAAGGAAC